TATGGCAGCAATACTCCATTTTCGGTCTGATCTGGCCGTTGCAAAGGCAAAGGTACTTAATGGATCGGTACAGGGAATCGACCATTTCTCTTTAGCGATGAATCGTATGCACGTGTTCCATTTGAAATCTGGTTTAATTTTAAGTCCTGATAGGCGCTTAAGGCAGAGAGACTCCCTAGAGCAATACTCCATTTTCGGTCTGATCTGGCCGTTGCAAAGGCAAAGGTACTTAATGGATTGGTACAGGGAATCGACCATTTCTCTTTAGCGATGAATCGTATGCACGTGTTCCATTTGAAATCTGGTTTAATTTTAAGTCCTGATAGGCGCTTAAGGCAGAGAGACTCCCAGAGCAATACTCCATTTTCGGTCTGATCTGGCCGTTGCAAAGGCAAAGGTACTTAATGGATCGGTACAGAGAATCGACCATTTCTCTTTAGCGATGAATCGTATGCACGTGTTCCATTTGAAATCTGGTTTAATTTTAAGTCCTGATAGGCGCTTAAGGCAGAGAGACTCCCTAGAGCAATACTCCATTTTCGGTCTGATCTGGCCGTTGCAAAGGCAAAGGTACTTAATGGATTGGTACAGGAATCGACCATTTCTCTTTAGCGATGAATCGTATGCACGTGTTCCATTTGAAATCTGGTTTAATTTTAAGTCCTGATAGGCGCTTAAGGCAGAGAGACTCCCTAGAGCAATACTCCATTTTCGGTCTGATCTGGCCGTTGCAAAGGCAAAGGTACTTAATGGATTGGTACAGGAATCGACCATTTCTCTTTTTAGCGATGAATCGTATGCACGTGTTCCATTTGAAATCTGGTTTAATTTTAAGTCCTGATAGGCGCTTAAGGCAGAGAGACTCCTAGAGCAATACTCCATTTTCGGTATGATCTGGCCGTTGCAAAGGCAAAGGTACTTAATGGATCGGTACAGGAATCGACCATTTCTCTTTAGCGATGAATCGTATGCACGTGTTCCATTTGAAATCTGGTTTAATTTTAAGTCCTGATAGGCGCTTAAGGCAGAGAGACTTCCTAGAGCAATACTCCATTTTCGGTCTGATCTGGCCGTTGCAAAGGCAAAGGTACTTAATGGATCGGTACAGGAATCGACCATTTCTCTTTAGCGATGAATCGTATGCACGTGTTCCATTTGAAATCTGGTTTAATTTTAAGTCCTGATAGGCGCTTAAGGCAGAGAGACTCCCTAGAGCAATACTCCATTTTCGGTCTGATCTGGCCGTTGCAAAGGCAAAGGTACTTAATGGATCGGTACAGGAATCGACCATTTCTCTTTAGCGATGAATCGTATGCACGTGTTCCATTTGAAATCTGGTTTAATTTTAAGTCCTGATAGGCGCTTAAGGCAGAGAGACTCCCTAGAGCAATACTCCATTTTCGGTATGATCTGGCCGTTGCAAAGGCAAAAGGTATGATCTTAATGGATTGGTACAGGAATCGACCATTTCTTTTAGCGATGAATCGTATGCACGTGTTCCATTTGAAATCTGGTTTAATTTTAAGTCCTGATAGGCGCTTAAGGCAGAGAGACTCCCTAGAGCAATACTCCATTTTCGGTATGATCTGGCCGTTGCAAAGGCAAAGGTACTTAATGGATCGGTACAGGGAATCGACCATTTCTCTTTAGCGATGAATCGTATGCACGTGTTCCATTTGAAATCTGGTTTAATTTTAAGTCCTGATAGGCGCTTAAGGCAGAGAGACTCCCTAGAGCAATACTCCATTTTCGGTCTGATCTGGCCGTTGCAAAGGCAAAGGTACTTAATGGATCGGTACAGGGAATCGACCATTTCTCTTTAGCGATGAATCGTATGCACGTGTTCCATTTGAAATCTGGTTTAATTTTAAGTCCTGATAGGCGCTTAAGGCAGAGAGACTCCCTAGAGCAATACTCCATTTTCGGTATGATCTGGCCGTTGCAAAGGCAAAGGTACTTAATGGATCGGTACAGGAATCGACCATTTCTCTTTAGCGATGAATCGTATGCACGTGTTCCATTTGAAATCTGGTTTAATTTTAAGTCCTGATAGGCGCTTAAGGCAGAGAGACTCCCAGAGCAATACTCCATTTTCGGTCTGATCTGGCCGTTGCAAAGGCAAAGGTACTTAATGGATCGGTACAGGAAATCGACCATTTCTCTTTAGCGATGAATCGTATGCACGTGTTCCATTTGAAATCTGGTTTAATTTTAAGTCCTGATAGGCGCTTAAGGCAGAGAGACTCCCTAGAGCAATACTCCATTTTCGGTCTGATCTGGCCGTTGCAAAGGCAAAGGTACTTAATGGATCGGTACAGGAATCGACCATTTCTCTTTAGCGATGAATCGTATGCACGTGTTCCATTTGAAATCTGGTTTAATTTTAAGTCCTGATAGGCGCTTAAGGCAGAGAGACTCCCAGAGCAATACTCCATTTTCGGTCTGATCTGGCCGTTGCAAAGGCAAAAGGTACTTAATGGATCGGTACAGGGAATCGACCATTTCTCTTTAGCGATGAATCGTATGCACGTGTTCCATTTGAAATCTGGTTTAATTTTAAGTCCTGATAGGCGCTTAAGGCAGAGAGACTCCCTGATCTGGCCGAGCAATACTCCATTTTCGGTATGATCTGGCCGTTGCAAAGGCAAAGGTACTTAATGGATCGGGATACAGGAATCGACCATTTCTCTTTAGCGATGAATCGTATGCACGTGTTCCATTTGAAATCTGGTTTAATTTTAAGTCCTGATAGGCGCTTAAGGCAGAGAGACTCCCTAGAGCAATACTCCATTTTCGGTATGATCTGGCCGTTGCAAAGGCAAAGGTACTTAATGGATTGGTACAGGGAATCGACCATTTCTCTTTAGCGATGAATCGTATGCACGTGTTCCATTTGAAATCTGGTTTAATTTTAAGTCCTGATAGGCGCTTAAGGCAGAGAGACTCCCTAGAGCAATACTCCATTTTCGGTATGATCTGGCCGTTGCAAAGGCAAAGGTACTTAATGGATCGGTACAGGGAATCGACCATTTCTCTTTAGCGATGGATGGTATGCACGAGTTCCATTTGAAATCTGGGTTGATTTTAAGTCCTGATAGGCGCTCAAGGCAGAGAGACTCCCGAGGGAACATCTGTTTATCATATTTGGCGATAGTTCTGGGTGCGATCCGATATGATGTAATGTCAAACATTTTATCTCTTTTCTATTGATGGTTAATCTTTTAACACAATTGCCTTTTTACAATGTCTATGGTTTCCGTCAGTTTTCTATTTGTAACTGCTATCAACGTACTGCTCTCTCCCTATTTGATGTTGCTAAGATTATATTCGCCTATAATAGATCCTGGTATAACTTAGCATAGAACTTACGGTTACATCTATCCAATTTAGCTGCAAAAATGATGAGACCTTGCCGCCAATCAAGTACTGTGCTTAAATTCATAAAGTCTACGTATCACAGCGGAGAGTCCTTCCGAACAATTAGCAATTTCTAAGAAAAGGCAGAAGAAAGCTACGTTACGGCGGTGGGAAATTGACTGGAGACGAGATGCTAGGTCAGGACTATTAATATTGCCGATTCTTCTTTCGATTTTATGAATGATCTCTAAATAAATAGCAGGTGCACGGGACCATATTTCGCGGCAATATTCAAAGCATGGAAAAATGGTATACTTATGTAGGATAGATTCTGGAGAGAAAAATAAACCAGCTCGATATAGTGAGCCAATCTTCTTAGCAGCTGGCCTAGAAATGGATTCAATATAGTCTTTCCACTTGATGTCAGCCGAGAATGTTAGGGTGAGAATGTTCAGCGAATCACTCTCCAGGAGGTTAGCATTAGCCATGCTAATGAAAGGCCGAAAAGGGTCTCTCAAATCAAACAAAGAACTAAAAGAGGTTAGGGACGAAAAGAAAGAAAGAAAGAAAGAAAGAAAGAAAGAAAGAAAGAACAGTAAGGCAAAGTAAATGAAAGAAGAGTTTGGGTTAAAGATGAAAGAAAAAAAAATGGAGAAATAAAAACAAGTCTTTAGATTCGCTTTGACGTATAGTTTGAATAAATTAGGTGAGTGGACGCATCCTTTTCATACGCCCTTTTCTATTTTGTATTTTCTAGGATTTTATACAATTTTAAGAATAAATATAACTTTGTCAATTTTATGCTTTTTGCACCGTCTGTCTTCTTTTTTTTTGTCTTCACTTTTTTCTAGATTATTTCACCTACCTTTTCTTTTTCAGTTATAATTAAAAATAATCAAAGAAATTCATTTTACTTTATCTGATTCTTGTCCCCAGAACAGGACGCCTATTTATTTTTTTTTATGTATTTCTAATTCACATATTATCTTCTTTATGGCCATTTAAATTATATTTTATGAAGATGACGTTCAATGACATAAACTTCAAATTTTCAAGTCATTCAACGCTTCGTGGTCACACAGGCGCTTTTGAAACAAACAAATTTTTTCACTCAGCTAAACATTTTTGTTTCTTTTGAATTTTTTTTTCTTTTATTATTGTCACCTTCCCACTTTGATTCTTTCTTTCTTCCTTTCTTTCTTTTTGTCCCTCCCTCGACTCCGTTTAGTTCTCCATTTGATTTGAGAGACCTCTTTCGGCCTTCCATTAGCATGGCTATTGCTAACCTCCTGGAGAGTGATTCGTTGAACATTCTCACCCTAACATTCTCGGCTGACATCAAGTGGAAAGACTATATTGAATCCATTTCTAGGTCAGCTGCTAAGAAGATTGGATCACTATATCGAGCTGGTTTATTTTTCTCTCCAGAATCTATCCTTAGGCTAACATTCTCGGCTGACATGAAGTGGGAAGACGATATTGAATCCATTTCTCGGTCTACTGCTAAGAAAATTGGTTCACTGTGTCGATCTAGATTATTTTTCTCTCCAGAATCTATCGTAAATATATCTATAAGGCTGCCATTCGTCAATGCTTAGAATATTACTGCCAAATATGGTCCTGTGCACTCTTTTCTTTTACAGTCTTTCTTTCTTTCTTTCTTTCTTTCTTTTTTTCTTTCTTTCTTTCTTTCTTGCCCTGTTCGTTTAATCGTTCTTTTTTTTATCTATTTTTCTTTCCTCTTCCTTTTTCTTTCAATCCATCTTTTTCTTTCTTGTTTGCTATATCTTCAGTCTTCTTTTTACTTTTATTTCTATACCACCCTCGTTTAAACACTGACCTTTTTCTAACTTTCTTTTTACCCCCCACCTCATTCCCTTTCTTTCTTTCTTCCTCCCTCTCTCTCCCTTCTGTCCTTCCTTCTTTCGCTTCATTTCTTTTCTACCCTCTCCTTTTTTTTTTTTTCTCATACTTCAATTAAAATCTTCTCGGTGTCCATGGTCTCTCCCTGTTCAACGACCATTACAAATAACAACGGGCGTTTTTAACTAAATTTACTTTTCTAAAATTCTGAAGATTACCTCCAGTGAATAGAACAGGAAATCAAATCAGCGAAATATTTAAATGTCGTTCTTCCATGGCAAAGATATAAAATAAAAGGTATGTTTATTTGTTGCTAGTTCTTGGCGGGTCTCAGTATATCTCCTTTCTGAAGTCGATATATTTACTTATTTAATGTCTTTATAACTTGGGATATCAAATGTTTCAGCAAACAAACAAGTCCAAACTTTCATTCAGTCTGTATATCGTGACGCGGCTACTAACAAGTTACAATATAAACAGATGTCGACCCTTCCATAATAGACTTCCATTAATTTAAATGATTAATGACAGATATGAAATATCTGGAGAAATTATGCCAGATGAAATACAGGAAAACGAGTTGAATGTTGAAGTTTTTAAACTTTCCTTGTTGACATTTCATTTCTTTTACACGAGCATTATCAAAAAAAAAAATAGATACTGATTAAGCATTAATATGAGTAAATATTAATGAAATTTTATTTAATACCTAAATAATATTAGATTGTAGGAAGGAAAGAGGTAATTATCTCCCTTTGGTGGAGAGGACCTTACGAGGGTCACGTGATGGCAGCTGATTTGCGCCAGTTCACAGAGTGACGAAAGCGGGGAGTTGTTAGCTGCATGGAGACAAGACAAGACTTGGTGTTTTTTTTTTGTTTTTTTTTTAGCACGACGAGGCAAGACCCCAGGCCGGGCCAGCTGCCATGTGGGAAGCACGCAAGTCCGAGGCGCCGATTTCAAGTTGGGAAATATGTCGGCTCCAGAGACATAGAAGAAAAATCCGGCCCGCACAAATTCCCAATGGCAAATATAAATATGGCCACATCAAGTGACCTCGTCGCTTCCACGTTGGAAAAAGAAAAACTTGGTTTCTCTGGAAACAGAAGAATCCCTCAGCAGACAAAGACAGATAAGAACATATGGAGACTAGGACTTAGATATTAGGTTGGTGCGAAAATAATGACGTAATAATGTCGTTTTTTGACGTACTTTTCTACGTCAAAAACGACGTTCTTACGTCATTATTTTTGCACCAACCTAATATAGCTATTAGGTTGGTGCGAAAATAATGACGTAAGAATGTCGTTTTTTGACGTACTTTTCTACGTCAAAAAACGACATTCTTACGTCATTATTTTTGCACCAACCTAATATTAATCCAATTAGAGATAATAAAGAAATTTTGAAAAATTAAAAGAAAGAAAAGTTTTCCTTTTGTATTTATTCATATATACTGGATGCAATGGGTAAATTGTCGTCATTTTAAATTTTAATTTCGTGCATGGGCATTGTTTGTTTTTTTTATTTATATTTTGTCGACAGCACTGTATAGTAGGGTCAGTTGGGCACCGTCTGTGAGAAAAAGAGCACCATGACGCAATTCACTCCGCCAGAAATTTAGAAACGATATACTAAGCTGCTTGGCATTCGCACCAGAAGCTCCAATATGAACTATTCAGTAAACTCATTATGATAAGAAAAGAACTCCTAGATTTATTAAAGAGATCCAGGGAAGGATTGACAAGGATCCATCAATGTCAATCAGGTCCATAACCATCTGAGTGTCTTATCAAGTTGGTAGTGCATGAAGACATTCGCTATTTCTCATACAAGCTGAGAACGTGCCAATTTTTATCCCAAGCCATGAGGGAAAAGAGGAAAGACCGCGCTACGAAGCTTTTGAACCAATTCAAGTACCCACTCCAACCGAACATGCTTTGGTTTTCTCTCAGACGAGAAAATTTTCTGCCTCGATAAAATGGTGAACACACAGAACAACTGTTGGCTTTCTATATCTCCAAAAGATGTACCAAGAGTGATGAAAACCAAATATCCAATCAACATCATGGTGTTTGGAGTGATCATTAGTGATGGTGACGTTATATCTTCATTGATCTTCCCACGGGTCTCATAGAGGCCTACATCAAGCGCCTTGAAGATTTAGTGCTGCCTTGAGTCAAGAGGGTGGATTCTAGAAGACTCTATGTTTGGCAACAGGACTCTGCACCATGTCACACATCAGAAGATACCACTCATGGATGTGAGACAATTTCTGCGAACCCATCACCACGTACATCTGGCCACCTAACTCCCCAAACTGCACCCACCTTGATTATTATGCGTGGGGCACAGTGGAGCGAGAGGCCAACAAAACTCCTTGTGACACCAAAGATGAACTAAAAGCAAAGATTATGGCAGCATTTACAAACTTGAACAAGGAGAACTTTCCAGAAGAGTTGTAGAATATTCCGAAGTCTTCTGGAAGTCATAGTTAAATCCAATGGCGAATATTACTGCTGTAGTGCTCCGGCTATATATCTCAAGATACCCGACAAAATCCAAAGAAAGGTCTGCAATGTTATCAATACTTTCCTGGCATCTCGACTTCATCTTTCCCATCACTCTAACATGGCTTACCTCAAACTCTTGTCTGTGAATACTTTCATGGCAGTTGTTCTAAAGAGCTCTCCTCCTGGGTATGTGAATTTAAACATACACCCGAGAAGACTAAGTTTTTTTTTAAGGTTACTGTTGAAATAGCAAAATGGAATCGTATCTTTTCTCAAACTTCATAACCATGGAACTTTCTTGAAGCTTCTTCCTTCCCTACCACCTACAATCTTCAAAAAATTAAATGCAACATTTTAACTTCTTTCTTTCTTTCTATCTATCTATCTATCTATCTATCTATCTATCTATCTATCTATCTATCTTTTATCTCAAACTCTTCAAATCTATATATCTATCTTTATGATTTTTATCTATATCTGTTCATATCTATCAATCTATCTATGCCTATGACTTTTATCTAAATCTGTTCGTCTCTGTCTGCCTAGGCCTTTTATCTCAATCTGTTCATATATATATATATATATATATATATATATATATATATATATATATATATATATATATATGTATGTATGTATGTATGTATGCATGTATAAATTCCCTTTTTCTCCCAGTAACCGTTGCATCTTAATGACATGATCGCTTTGCTTGAGGTGAAATGATAAAAAAAACGTGCATTTTTTAAACATTATTCACGTTTTACCAGGTTATAAACTATTTATTGCATTTCAATATAAGTAGTAAGCATTTTAGTCAGGTAGGACACAAACGTTTATTTGAACTGCGAGAAAAATTGGATTTATTTCAGAAATATATTTGGGAAACATATTAGAATAAACGGATAGAAAGTGAATTAAGAAAATTCACGAAAATAGAAAAAAGCGTGGAACAAGATGGCGTTGTTTCAACTGACTTGTTCAAGCTCCACAGCAAGGTGATCGAAAGAGAACAGAAATTCTACGACGATTTATTCGGGTAAGGCACAGAAGGAAAACTGTAAGAATTCCTACACAAATTATCCAATGAAAGAAGGATGAAAGGACTAACTATGTAAGAAAACAGAATGTATTGTTATCAGGAAGAGGAATAGACAAAACTGCGAGCGACGAATTGGAGACGATAGAATGGAAAAGTATCCAAATGAAAAGGGGTATTAACAGATGCGAAAAATTTGACACTGAAATCCAAAGGCGGAGTGGAATAGAGAGAAGTCACCTTCCAAAAACTAAACAAAGTATTTAGAAACAGAAAATGGACGTCAGTGGGTACATTTTCTTTCCGCTTGAAGGAATTGAATGTAGAACCTCTGGTTCGTCCGCCATTTTACCAGATTACTAGTTGTAAGAAGGCAAAATATGATAAGTTCTTGACAGGAAGTTTCGCCTTAGTGCAATACCACCAACACCCGCCTCTGATGAAAAGGGCTAACATAATAAATTTGAATGTATTAGTTTTTAGGGAGCGACCTTATATATATATATATATATATATATATATATATATATATATATATATATATATATATATATATATATATATATATATATATATATATATATATATATATATATATATATATATATATATATATATATATATATATATATATATATATATATATATATATAAAGATCAATGGTTATACCTTTTATCTTTTACCCATTGCCTTTTGAGGAAACATTTTTGCTCCAATTGGCTTGAAAAATATTACATATGAAACCTGCATTTACGTGTACTCAGCTCATTTGTGCGTGTATATATATATATATATATATATATATATATATATATATATATATATATAATTATTTATTTAAAAAATATGATTCCAAAAACGCTACATAAGAAGTCTCATGTTTCAAATAATTATACTGAAGTTTTCGGCTCTTTTAGCGTTTTTGGAATCATATTTTTAAATAAATAATTATATTTATGCTCTACTTTTGTATCGAGCACTATTTTTTAAAATAATAACTAAAATACTAAGGGACTTTGGATTATTCACCTAACCAGTTCCTTCCTATTTTCTATAAATGTTCACACACATATATATATATATATATATATATATATATATATATATATATATAGATAGATAGATAGATAGATAGATAGATAGATAGATAGATAGATATATGATAGAATAAAGAACAAGTAGGAAACGTTTATAAATTTAACATTTCCTCTGTTCTTGATCACGCGTTAACCTGGTGTCGAAATCTCGTTCTCCAACCAGATAAATTGGATAGAAACGCTGTTAGTTTTCATAGTGTTCATTTTCATATGTTACATAAGTAGTTATCTTAGGGAGAGTTACTACTTGGTAAACGTTTGATTCACAAACCAAAAAATCGTACGGGTGTTGATGGCTCGTTAACAGGGTATCAATCTGTACGGAGAAAAATACTAAACGATGATTGTAAGGAATTTAAGCGTATTTTACTTAACAGATCTTCATTTGTTAATCACTTCTCAAACCAAATATCGCATTTATAACTGATCCACATTTGTTTTAATCGGTCTCCATCTCTTCCTATTCCCGTG